GATTCTGGACCCATTCAGCACACTTAGACCAGTCCAGCTTCGGTTCAGCATGAAGGCAGACTCTTCGGCATACTCGGAACCCGTTTCTGAAACCCATCTCATATTCCTCTTGGGTATAGACACGGACTTTGAGTAGAGCCTCAGCATCAGCCAGCTTCTTCTGGGTCTCCTCCAAGTCTTCCTTGGATTTCTTCAGCTCATCAGCGAGCTTGGAGGAGGAACCTTTCAGCTCATTCAGCTCCTGCTGAACTTGGGAAGCCTTTGTCTGAGCTTGGGCCACTTCAACTTTTTGTGTCATCAGTTGATCCTCAGCCTCATGGAGTTTAACTCTGAGCTTCGGCAGCAGCAGCAGCCTCTGAGAGTTGGACATCTTTGGCCCGGAGCAGCTCTTCAGCAGCCATTCGGCTAGCTTCAAGAGCTTCTAGACGTTGCTGCACTTCAGCTTGTGCAGCAGCTCCTTCCTGAATACGGCTCTCAACAACAGCCTTGAATTTGGAGACGTCCACTCCCATATGCTCCTGGAGGAATTTCTCCCCTTCCATCAGTGGGGGAAAAACTTCCTTCTCCATAGCGTCGCAGAAGGTTTTGAGGGCTTCAGCAGCTCTTTTCTCATACTCCTCACCCTTCTGCTGCTTCTCTTCAGCTGCTGCTTGCTTCAGCTTAGCAAGCTTTGATTCCTCTTCAGCCACCTTCTTGTCGTGCACAGCAGCGTCTACCCTATCTTGTAGGGTATCTATCAGCTCTACAGTGAGAGTCTGATTGTGCACGAACTGAAAACAGGAAGACAAAAAAAAAAAAAAATATATATATATATATATATAAAGAGCTGAATTTCAGAGGAAATGAAGACAAGGAAAATTACCTGCATCATCAGCAGTTGGTTAGACCTGGCTGGGTCAGGAACTGATCTGCTGGATTCGCCCATCCCAGCAGTGGCCTTCAGCGACCAGATCCTTGCCCTATCTACTTCGGACATGCCAGCAAAATCGCCGAAGTAGGCTGCAGCTCCTTCTCGGTTCTGACCCCATATGAGGTCCCAGATGTGGTCTGGGATTGGAATTCGGGGGGCCGAGAAACCCATTTCTGCAGATTGCAGAGTCTGGAAAGAAGGGAAGGATGACGATGGAGCTTGATTAGCTTTGGATGGCTCAGCATCATCCTTCTCAGAGGAGTCAATTACTATGACCTCCTCTTCTTCAGGGGTGAGGACGAAAGCCTCAACCTCTCTTGCGATGTCTGCCGTGAAGCCCTCAGCACTGGACATCACGGCATCCTTGTTTTCGTGCTCAGCAGCACTCTCCCTAATTTCTTCTTGGACCCCTCCCTTAGATTCGGGAGTTCTCTGATCCACCTCCATCTCAGGAGGTGGCGGAGGGGTCTTTTGAGGTGATTGGGGTGGTGGCCGGGGAACCCTCGGCGATCCATTGCCTTCCTCGGGTTCCCTTATTGCAACGCCGATGGTCATCGGCCTCCTCTGAAAGTCATGAGGGCCGATGATGGCCATCCTTCGGCGCCTTTTCAGAAGGGGCTGCTCGTCCATATCTGAGTCTGAGGACTCTCCTTGTATTTGATCTTCGGGACGAGCAGGAGCTTTCCCTTCTCTGTGTCTGTTACTCTCTTCAGACTGTAACAGACAGGGGGGAAGGAAGAATGTGAGTAAAAAAAAAAAAAGAAGAAGAAAAGAAAAAAGAAAAAGTTAAGTCTGAAAGCTCACCGAGGTCTTCAGCAAAGCCTCGTCTTCTTCAGCTGCTCTAGCTGCAGCTTCTGCTTCAGCAGCTCTGGAGGACCCTTCTCCTCCTTCGCAAGCTTCGAGAACCCGTGCAACCTCTTCGGCTGTGCGGGCAGCTTCAGCTTCTTCGTCCAGCAGCTGAAACCAGGGGTCTCTCTTCTTCCACCAAGGCTTCTGCCTCTGATACAGAGCAACAGCCTCAATTTGGAAGTGGGAAGAGTCTAGATGAACTTCCCTATTCCTCGGCTCAGTGATAGACGGGGCCCGTTCAGTTACAACTCGTTCTCGGTTGACACCAAGACGAGCGTAGTTAATGCCAACGTTGGTCTCGTCCCGCTCTGAAAAAAGGAAAGGGGAAAGGTTAGCTCAGATAGGTTGGCACAGCATAAAAAAGCGAAGCGAGAGAAGAAAAAGAGATAGTTAAAAAGCCTCGGCCCCAGCCGAAGAAGCTTACCATCCTTAAACTTTCGGCTGAGGCCAACAGCTGCTAGCATGTTCTCTTGGAAAACGTAATGCGTATCGGGGAGCCAAGTCTCCGGGATATGCTGCATTCGGCCACTGCCCCCCCGGTTCGGCAGCTTGCCGAAGATATGTTGCTGATCCAGGTTCGGATCCGCCCCGTTATCTGCGGGGGGACCTAGACTTCCCATTTCGGGATCAGGCTCAGCGAGGTACCGGGGAGCGCTGAAGACGCAAGGGTGGCCCGGATCTGTGGGTGCCCTAACCCAAATCCATTGACCTCTCCAGTCCTTGTCTGAAGAGTCGTTTGGCCACATGGTTAGGTATTGGGGTCGGGACTCAATCCGGTACCACCCAGAACCATGGCTTCCGTGCCCACTTTGAATATTTGGCACTAGCCGATGGAGCTTTTTGAAGCAGTGCAGGTTCGGCACGTACTTGAAGAACTTGTAGACCCATAAGTATGTCATCACCCTTCGGATGCTGGTGGGAGTTAACTGACATAGAGAGATGTTGTAATGGATCAGCAAGTCTCGGACGAATACGTCCAAAGGGAACCTCAGCCCGTACTGAAGCTGTCTTGTGTACACCCCCACATACCCCGGGGGTGGACGATGGATTCTATCGGATGCCGAGGGCATTCGGCACCAATACCCATCAGCTTCAAAAATTCCGTAATGCAACTCAATTTGCTCGGCAAATCGATATTGATCGGCATTCTCCACCCACCATGGGTAGGGGCGGTTCTTTATCATGGCCGAAGCAACTTCGGCATTCTCCCATTCTGAAAACCCGGGGAGGATATCCCAAAGGACAGCGGGAACTTCATCATCCCGTCCAGAAGCGCTCGGCTCCTCCGTTCTCTGAGGAGGAGCCGAGGAAAGGGGAGTCGCCCTAATCCCTTCAGCAGGATCAGACTCTGGCCTTTGTCCATTCCAGGTCCCAATCCTGTTCCTAGGATCGGGAATCGGCCTTGCTCTTCTTGGAGCACGGGCTCTACCTCTAACTCCTCTTGCCATTGATTATTTCGAAGAAAAAAGTCGAAAGAAAAGGGGAAGGAGTTCGAATTCGAAGAAAAATAAACTGAAATCAAAGGAATTTACCTTAATCTGAAGCGAAAGTTGCCGATTTACGAGTTCGTAGTGGCAAGTCTCAGTTTCTAAGCTTAATGCTCGGGGAATTTGCGAAGTTTTGATGCGGGTTCTTGGTTTCTCTCTCGAGAATTTTGGGTTTGTGTTGGTGAATAAGTGAGGAGAGATGACGCGCCTCTGTTTATATCTCCAGGTACGGGATACGAGGAGTCTGCGTTTTAATTTCTCTTAAGTACTCCACTAAGTAACCGTTAAACACATGATCTTGTGATTAAACTGCCCATTATCCGTCCAACTTCCACAATCATTAATCGTTGTTATCTCATTAATTACGGTTTAAATTCAAATTTTTGGATTAATTAAATCATTTACTTCCCTCCTTTTCTGAATTAAATCAAACCCGACCCGTCATCCTTCCAAATCGGGTCTGGGGGGCAAGTTGTTTGGGTCCAATTTAGTCCAATTGGGCCTAAGCACTAAATGATCCAATTAAAAGCTCAAGGTCAAGGTTCAACTCTCCAATTGTGCTAAAGTCAAAGGTCAGCCCACAAAGCAAGCCAATTGGGCTAAGGCCCAACCTCTCCATGTATGATGAGGTATAAAAGCCATCATATTGATACATTCAAAGGGGAGATTCATTCTGATTCATTCATAGATTCATATGTTCATTCATATATTCTGAGATATTCCAAAAAAGCCTCAAGCAACAAACTCTCTTGCATAGTGTCTTCTTCTTACACATTGTACTGACTTTAGCATCGGAGGGGCCTTCCTCGGCAACACCCCCGAGGCTAGTTTACGTGTGTTTACTGTGCAGGAAATCTTCGGCCCAACATAACTTGGACCGAATCCAGCCTTCTCCATTTCAGCGGACCTTCGGCAAGGTCCCATTGTTTTCACCCGAAACACAATGAAAATTAATGTGTATATAATCCATCAGCCTATAACTCTCCTAATCAAACCTTCAGCTGAAAAAATCGAGCTAAACTGTTAATTACAAGTAACCACTCATTCCATATTCAATAATAGGTTATTTGTTATGTATGCTAAAAATCAATTATAACTACTCTGTTTTACAAATTAATATTCATTAGTGCATAAACCCCTCTAATTAATTAACCTTTATTCAGTTATAAAAAGAGAACTACAAGCAACATTCATTTATAGCAATTATTTGCCCATACTATAATCACCATCCTAACCCATTTGCACAATCAAGAGCTGAGAAAAAAAACAAACATTTCAAAGGCTCAATCTCAATGAATCAAACTAAGGCCTACCTCTAATTAATCATTAAACATAGCAAATTAAGGATAATCAATTATCATCAAACACTAACATCAACCACAATCAACAATTTGACGCCCCAAAATTAAAGTAATAAAAAATTCAAAGGCAGAAAGAGATAAATCACACATTCAGTATACTGAACATATGCTTTTTATTGGATTAATAATGAGTGTGTTAAGATTTTATTGCTATTCTGGCTTTCATTTTGTTTATAAAAAGGAACAATCACAATTCTAATTATGATGGTTGTCATAATATGCGACCAAGGTGCCTCAGCCCTACGCCCCTACCTAATCTAATCAAAGTATGATGTGTGACAAATTCAAAGACCAGAGATGCTCATTTGCAAGCCCATTTAACTCAGTGATGCATACGTTAACTCAACCAAGAATAGGTTTCAAGCGACTCTTAATGCCATGAACACATTATACCTGACCCAGGACCCCTTCCAAAGCAAAGTCTCCTCACCAGCCTGAATTCAAAAATATATTTTCCTCTTTTCATATCCTGGAAGCTGTGAATATGTACTTCTGATTAACTGAATATATCAAAAAATAATTTTCTGCCTTGTATTTGAAAATGACAGCATGAGTGAAGAATCACTAGTAGAAAATACGTAATGGCAAGCGGTTCAAACCCCCTAATGGGAAGCAGTTCTGAACCGTATGCTTTTAGGGGGCTTGCCATTAGCCTTTTACATGGCAAGCGGTTCAGAATGGGCTTGCCATTAGTAGTGAATGGGCAGCGGTTTTGGCGCCAAACCGCTGCCCATTATGGCTATAAAAAATAAAAAATAAATAAATTTTATTTTTTTTTTTTTTTTTGGTGTTTTTCACTAAAATTGATACACGAACAAACTATATGTAAAACCAATAATATTTAGATAAATTAATTGATTGTTGTAAGTATTACATTTCATAAAAAAAAAAAAAAAAATTAATACAAGTAATAAAAATGAAAAAGCAGCTTGATTCAAAAAAAAAAATACAACAGCTGTTCCAGTAACAGCTCCACCACCATCCACATGCACCACCACCACCACCATCCACGCACGCGCACCACCACCATCCACCAAATCCCAGCCAGCTTGGCCTAACACGACCCCCACCATCCACCAAATCCCAGCCAGCTTGGCCTAACACGACCCATCCAATAATATTTAGATAAATTAATCCCAGCCCGCTTCGCCCACCAAAACCCCCACCATCCACCAGATCCCAGCCCACTTCGCCCACCACAACCCCCACCAAAACCCCCATCAACACCAGATCGGCCTGAAATAAACCAATTCAACCACACATCACCATAAAATTAAAAAAAAAAATACCATGAATTCCACCATAACCTCGAAATTAGCTTGAAATTTGGGTTTTAAGGGTCAAATTCGACCATGAAAACTCTAGATCTAGAGTTTTATGGTCGAATTTGACCTAAAAAACTCGAAAATGATGGTCTTGGCTCGAATTTGCTCGAAAATGAAAATCGTGGGTCGAATTTGCTCGAAAACCCACTCGCACCATCACCGGACTGAGAAGCCGTCGCTCGTGAGGAGATGAGAGTAAAAAAAAGGAGATGGAGAACGGAGATGGAGGAGAGCTGGAGAGAGAAGTGAGGGCGTGAAAATGGAAGGGAGGAGGAGAGAGAGCGTGAGAAATAGAGGGGAGGAGGAGAGAGAGCGTGAGATTTTTAGGGTTTTTTTTAACAAATGGCAAGCGGTTGACGTTACAAACCGCTTGCCAATTACAATTTTGCAAGCGGTTCACCCTAAACCGCTTGCCATTTACAATATTGCAAGCGGAATTCCAAAACCGCTTGCCATTTGGGGCTTCCCATTACGTTTATTCTACTAGTGAATGATGCATCCATGTTCTTAGCAGTGATAGGATTGATATGATATAATGTATATCAATTTGATTCTCTTTGAGTGCAAGCCTCACCTTTTGGCTATCCACAGAGAAGGGGTGATGAACTGATGATATAACTGCATGTCTACATTGTATCATCAATATCAACTCCAAGGATGTAATGTAGGTAGTATCTCAAAACTTATCCGGTCAATCAGGCACTAACAAAATTCCTGTTCAACAACAAAGGGACAATCACCACCAAAATACGAAATAATACACATCTAAAGGGTTTAACCAAGCTTAGGACATGGAGTTTTGATAAAATCTGACCATGAACACAAAATAGGAAGCAAACCTTTAATATTGTCATACAATCATGAATACCATAACTATAATAAAAATTTATTCCCCCTCCCATCCCGACGAATATAATATAGGCACTATACAACTATACTACATAGAGAATAAGATATAAGCAAATTGTATTGGCATTACATTGAACATTTTAGAGCATTATCTTACTTTCACCACGACCTCGACCATATAATAATAAAAGCATGCAGATACTAAACAGAATCCAATTAGAGATATTTCTTACACCTCCAAGTCCGCAAACCATGTTAATTGTGTGCATAATAATTTCCTCTTTTCTTTTTTGGTTGTGTTACCCCTAAATTCCTGGATTCCTTATACCCAATATCTCCCCTAAAGGATTATAAATTCCTACCAGTTCCTCTACCACATCACTCAAGGTCATGAACGCATGATCCAATCCTCAGTACTACCATAATCACCATCCTAACCCAACTGCACCGTCATAGACTAAGAAAATAAAGTTATAGGCATATACTAAGGAATTTATTTATCTATTTATTAACTGTTATAGCTGAATTTCCCAGAGAAATTCGGGAACTTTTACATAATTTCCTAGATTAGCCATTATTATTCCTTCATCTGGATTCGTGGAATTGTTTATAATTATACTATAACATAAATTCAAGAGTTAATCAAAAAAATAAGAACATCCTTCACAACACAATCCTATGGAGTTCGAAAGGTGAATGTAACTAAGACATATGGACATATAAATTCCCACTACAAGCCTTTCCTATAACTCAACATACAAGCAAATATTATAATTAACACCCAATCAACACTTAATTCAAAATAAAATCCCAAAAAGAAATGCAACAAAGTTTCAGATATCATATTTACCTCACTTTTTATCAGGCAAATAATGTTTCAATTCAAAAACAATTACTTATACCTGATTATTAGTAGGATTAATATTGGACATTAGAGGACCATTATCTTTCTTGATTTCCGCTCACATAATCAGAAATTTATACTCTTTATTTGCGAAACCCTTCTCTGCAATTTTGTAGAAAACCAAATCCTAGTTTAAAACTAAACACATTTCTTCGCAAAACTCATATCTAAAATCCTACAAAAACCCAATTTAAAACTGCAAATCTCAATAAAAAGTATTCAATCAAATTTCACACTAATTTGATTCATTATAAGATTTATAGCCAATAGTTTAATAGTGTCCCTTAGAATAATCCTAAATTGAGTACACTAAAAGTAATTTAATTTCGATGAACCCTAGATTGTGAATTTGATATCTGATGATTGATAAGAAGAAAGAAAATCTTACCTCAAAAGCCACTCCAATGCAAGTAATGTCGAAAAGTTATTTGTGGGCTTCCTCAACTCAAGAGAGATGGAGATGACCTTTCTTAAACATCGATTGTATACCGTACGACTACAATTTGAATTCTGAAAGAGAGCAAAATGATAAAGAAAGAGGAACAAACAACAATGATTTACAAGTTCCCATCATCTCTCTGTAGCTCTCTCCACTCCAATTTAATCTTAACCCACACTATAAGACATCTCAATTTCAATACAACTTAGATTTCAGTTCAATTTCAATACAACTCAATTTCCAGTTCAGTTATGTTGTGATGTGTTCTATTTAGTTCAGTTCAACTCCTAATTTCCTTCTATTATAAAATATTCAGTTCAATGAGAACAAGCCCTAAGTGGAGCAAACTAGTAAAATGCGGATGCTGATATGTGTGCTGATTGGGACAAATTAACATATTGATACATTGTAATTAGATTAATGACTGTTACCCAAGTACCCAACGGCGTCAAAGTGTCGTCTCTCTTATCCACACATCACCATTCACATTGTAGGGTAAGCTCAATGAAAGCTTTAATGGTGGACATGGTCACCCCTACCTTAACTTCACCCTTTAATCATAGGGTTTTCATTTGATTTGGCGGTGAAACTGCCGGAGATGGTAGTGCCGTCGGTGGAATGAAGGTGGCCTGGAGATGAGGAAGCGGTGTCGGTGGAATGAAGGTGGAGATGAGGAAGCGGTGTGGTGGAAGATGGACACGGTGAAGATGGTAGTGTCGGTGGGAGATGGCTGGAGATCGGGGAAGGAAGGAGGAAGCTTCAATGGTGGAAGCTTCAATGGCGTAAGCTTTTCGACACCCCGTTAACTCTTACAGTTAACCTCTGTTAGCAACATCTTCGCCCGACTCAGCATAAGCGTCCACCATTGAATGTTACATCAGACAACGAAAGCTGAGATGTTGCATTCATTGTTTGCTTTATTTACAAATAAGCCATTTGATAGATTAACATAACTTGTTAATCAAATAGATCAATGGGGACCGCCTCTAAGAAGAATAGGATTTCATTAATGAAAGATAGTCAAACGACACTTATAAATAATTCTGAGGAAATCTAAAATTCCAATACAAATACAATTCACCTTATAACTAGTTACATTGCAGATTCGATCAACGATCGTCTTTATAAAAATCTTCATCCGAAACAAAACAATCTGTGAGTTAGCTCTAATTCGGCTTGAGATCCACGGATGAATAGTTGTTTGGGTGAAAAAACTCATATGGTCTTCTAGATAACTTTGGAGATTGTGAACTCTAAATCTTCAATCTTTGGCAGACGAACAAACAAATAAATTAAACCTAACAGAATAAACACCGTCATACAGATGTGATCCTTTATTGAAAGCAATTAATAAGTTTTTTGGGGTTTACCACCAGTTATAACACTGGTGGAAGCCCTTTAAAAATTTTAAATTGAGACCAAAAGAAAAAAATATGGAAGAGAAAGAGACAAAAGGAGAAGATTGAAGGAAAACCTTAAAAAAAAGTAGAGAAAATCTAGCAATGGAGGCTAAAAAACCCTCCCAAGGGGGAAACCCTAGAGGGAACCAAAAAAACCTCTGTTATTGATTATTGATTAGTCGGACATGAGTATTGTTGTTAGAGTAGGTAATTGAGGGTAAAATTGTAATATCAACAATATTAGAAGTTTTTTTGTTTTTATAAAGGTAAGATAAACAGCCTATTACCCTCTTCTTTTGAGCTTCTGGGTAGAGTAAAGCAGAGCAGGCTGGATTTCTCTATCATGACGCCGTGCTCGGCTTGTTCAAGGGTTTTTGGTGGGACGAGTCTTGGAAGGGATTGTTATTTTTGGTGGTGGTTTACTAGTTTCGGGTAGTTGGGTTCGACGCTTCTTTAATCTGGGTATGTGGTTTAATTTTGGGGGTCGGTAATAGGTGGAAGAGTTCGGCAGGCTATTTTTGGTGGTTATGGGGGTTAGTCGGTCGTTTTCCGGCGATGTTAGGGGTGAGTTAGGGTTCCGGCAAGGCGGTAAGGTTAGGGGAGAGGGTGGCTGGAATTTTGGGTTTTTTTTTTTTTTGACTTTTGCTACCTCTGAAACACATCAAATTTATTTTTTCTACCTGAGAAAACTTTTATTTTATTTTACTACCTATCAAATCCCGAAATTTAAATTTCGCTACCAGATAACGGAATTTGATAATAATTCCGTTAGTGAGATGGCGCCTCCGTCATTACAACCTTCCGGCCACCACTCCCTCCTTAGCCACCTTAAATGCCTCCCCGTCAGCGACCAAGAAAAAAAATTATTTTTTTTTTTAAAAAACCTGCCACCAAGCCAGCCCCGTTAGCCACCCAGTCCCCTCCCCCTTACCGGCGGTCGGCGCCGGCGAACCCTTTCCCCGTTCTCGCTGCCCCGACCAGCCACCACAACGAACCCCTTCCCTTTCCCCGTTCTCGCTTCCCCGACCCCCACCCCAAACCAAAAACCAACTTTTTTTCCCCTCCCTCCACCGGAATCCGCCACCCACCCATGTTTCCCCCCACCAAAATCAACCCCCCTCCCCTTCCCCTATCGTTTTCGGCCTTCCCTAACCCTAAACCACCATCCCAAAACCACCAAATACGAATTTAGGGTTTCATTTTGGGTGGTTTTGGGGTGGTGGTTTAGGGTTAGGGAAGGCCGAAACGATAGGGAAAGGGGAGGGGGGTCGATTTCGGTGGGGGAAATGTGGTTGGGGGGTAGATTCCGGTGGAGGGAGGGGAAAAAAGTCGGTTTTTGGTTTGGGGTGGGGGTGGGGGTCGAGCAGCGAGAACGGGGAAAGGTTTGTTGGCAGCGTAGGGGTGGGGGAAAGGAAGGGGGGTGGGTTCGCGCCGGCGACGGCCGAAGTTCTGGGCGTCGGCCGCAGGGGGGGAGGGAAGCGATGGCAGTTGAGGGGAGGGGTGGCAGGGGCAGCTGGGTTTTTTTATTTTTATTTTTATTTTTTAATTTTTTTATTATTTAAAAAAAAATAAACTTAACGGAATTATTAACAGATTCCGTTAACTGGTAGCAAAAGTTAAAAAATGGCATATGTTAGGTAGTAAAATAAAATAAAAGTTTTGATAGGTAGCAAAATTGAAATTGAGGTGTTTGATAGGTAGCAAAAGTAAAAAAATCTTTTTTTTTAAAAATTTTATTTTAAGTTTTACTTCGTATATGTTTTTTTATTAATATTTTTAAACTTGGACCATTCATGTGTTGACACATGTCATGATCACCTATTATAACAGGTCATTGATCCGTCATTGACCGGTTGGGACTATTAAAGGAAAACTACCCCCATAGTTAGAATTATTAGATAATAAATATTAGTTGGGATTATTAAAAGTAAATCATCCATAGTTGGGATATAAAACTGTATTTTTCTTATATATAATGTCGTCCAACTCTTACAGAGGAATAATATTTTGACTATATTATTTCATCTCCCCTAAAATATGCAGCACATCGTATAAAGTTGAGAACTCTTATGTCTTTTTTAAAAAAACTAGTTAGTGACTCGTGCGATGCCCCGGCTTTGTTTCTCCTTTTTTTTGGTATGGAAGATTGTGAATATCACTTAAATACGAGCATTTTTTTTGTTGGTATAAACTTTTTGTCTATTTCGCATTTGAAAAATATTTAACTTTGATAAGAAAACTTTCAATAAATAAATCCCTCAATGGCACAACTCAGCCATTCTTTTAATTTCTTTTTATTCCAAATTTATTACTGTAGACTGTGGAGTAACTAGCCAGAAATTTTTGTTTTTTTTTGGAAGCAAATTGTTTTATTTTTTTACTTCATTCTTGCAATTTCTTCTTTATTAATGGAGTTCTCCAATTGAATTTAGATGGTTATTGTAGGCGTCGTTTGAAGTGCGCCTACGTTAAAGCATGTTGTGAATATGTTTGGCACTCTTAGGAAGTGGGAACTGACATATGCGATTAGGGACAAGGAAAGCAGGGAGCCGCCAACAAGTTTTTAAGGAACTTGTAAACCGTTCACGGATCATAAAAGGCAACCACGAGAAAGGGACGACGATAGGCAACAACGATTGACCCGTGAAGGTTACACCCCATTCATGATCCATGAGATTACTAACTCCATATGGTTCGGAACCACGAAAGGAGGATCGGGGTTGATGGTACGAAGTGAGTCATGGAGTCACATTCGCCCGTATTGGCCTCTACTCGATTCTTATAGTGAAAAATGATTCCTACGATCTCAAAGGCATACAAACAAAATATTCAATTTTCTCCAAACTATTATTAAGCTAAATTGGTTGAATATTAATGCAACACATAATTCTAAAATATTGTGATCACTTGATTTAACAATAAGATTAAAAAGGAACCTAAACCGGTCGTCCAAATTATCTTATTAGGCGTGATTTTCAATTACATATTCCATTTAAACATGCAATGTGGTGATCATAATAATAGAATAAACATTAATATTGGAAGCAATTTAACAATAATAGCGTTAGTCTAATCAAATTATAATAATAACCCTAATCATGATACTAGCAATATAAAATAATAAGAGTAATTAAGTGAATTAATTACTCACTTTCAGCGTTTCCTTGAATTGCTACATCATGAATAAACTGTTAGTAACTTCAATAAAAATATAAATCAAATTGAAACAATTAAATTAAAAAGTAGAGTTGAATTAGTCCAAACCCTCCGTCAATTATACCTTTCACGCCTTGGTTTAAGTATAGAACTTTGGGTATTATATGGACTCTTTGGAGTGCTTAAAGGAAGGAATAGTGAAAGAATGGGGAGGCTAGTGTTTAGGCTAAAGAGGGAGAAGAGAATTATTTGATGATTAAGCTTGTTGATGATTGAAAAAGGGGAGATATGACCTTTATTTATAAGGAAAAAAGAGGGTCGAAGAATCAAGAAAAGATAAGAATTCGAATCGGATAAAACTCTTGCGATTGACAACAATTTTTGCGGGTTTTGTTTTTATCATATCTTTTGATCCAGAAATCGGAATAAGATAAATAAGATATCGTTGGAAAACTCTTAAAGTTTACTTTCTAACCCAATTAGAATCAGATTAAAATATTTTGTAGAATAAAAGATATGGCTGAAATAGTGAGACAGTGTCAGTTTTGGATAGAGTTTGACATTTTATTCATATCTTTTCCGTTTAGCTCGGAATTGATATTATAATATATCATTGGAAAGATAATTTCAAGAGATACCCAACCATATAAAATTTGGTTAAAAAATATGAGGCACGAAAATCATATCTGACTATCTTTGAACGTCTTTCAATTCGGATAGAAATAGGATTTTCAAAAAGAAAAGTTTTATTCAATTTCAAACTCTTTAATTTTATCTTTTCAAAAAGGATAATTAAGATCTTTTAGAAACTTATAGAAGTTTCTAATTAATCCTAATTAGATTAGGTCCCGTGCCATGCACGGTTATTTCACTAAATTTAATCAATGAAAGAAAAAAATAGTGTATGAAAAAATAGTATAGATAAAATATATCTATAACAAATTTATTATCTTCTTATTTTGCGTATATAATAAAATGAAACATGAATATAACGAAAAATTCAGTTATCCAAATGAGTATATTAAAACTACATCTACATGTTAGACCATATGAGTGTTTTAAAAATTCAATGATAATTTAGTATTAAATTTTCTTTTTATTAATCAAATGAGTATTTAAAATTGTGTATTACACTTAATGGGCAGGAATGATAACCCTGTTTTAATATTTAGTCAATTTTTTTCCTAAATTATGATACTTTATGAAAGTATTGGAGATACAAATACAAACTAACGGATTTAATCAAATTATCTTACATGATTACATGTATAGATAAAGTGTTTATAATGTTATGCTATGTTGCTAAACTGCCTTCATATATTTATTAGGTTATTCGTATTAGAATTAAGCGAGAAACCAATTAAAGTAATAAAAAAATTCAAAATTACCATTCAATAATAATTTGTGTAGTACAAATC